AGTAAGTAAGTCAGTAAGTCAGTCAGTAAGTAAGTCAGTAAGGAAGTCAGTAAGTAAGTAAGTTAATCAGTAAGTAAGTCAGTAAGTAAGTAAGTCAGTAAGTCAGTCAATAAGTAAGTCAGTAAGTCAGTTAGTAAGTAAGTCAGTAAGTCAGTCAGTCAGTCAGTCAGTCAGTAAGTAAGTAAGTAAGTAAGTCAGTAAGTAAGTCAGTAAGTAAGTCAGTAAGTAAGTAAGTCAGTAAGTCAGTAAGTAAGTAAGTCAGTAAGTCAGTCAGTAAGTCAGTCAGTAAGTCAGTCAGTCAGTCAGTAAGTAAGTAAGTAAGTCAGTAAGTTAGTAAGTAAGTCAGTAAGTAAGTAATTAAGTCAGTAAGTCAGTAAGTAAGTAAGTCAGTAAGTCAGTAAGTCAGTAAGTCAGTAAGTAAGTAAGTCAGTAAGTCAGTAAGTAAGTAAGTCAGTAAGTCAGTAAGTAAGTAAATAAGTAAGTAAGTAAGTAAGTACAGTTTTATTTATAAAGTGCCTTTCACAGAAATATATCCACAAGGTGCTGTACAATCATTAACAGTATAAAAATGGTGGAAAGAATAAAATGAAACAGAAAAAACAATTACACATAAGCAACGAAAAATTGAAACATCAAATCAGGAATTAATTTCTAAAATTTTAAATCAAACACAAGGTCAATGCAGTTCAAAGTATACAATAATACACAAAACATAATGAATGCGGGAGAGAAAAATATGGCGTAAGTTAATAGTAACTAAAACACAGATTGTCGAGCATTCACAATGGAGGTAGGCTGGCAGTAATGGTGAAATGGTTAGCTAAACGCTTGAGTGAAAAAGACAAGAATAGTAACTTGATTGTAGTTACCCAATAAAGGTAGTTTTACTAACAGTAGTTTTTCTTTTGTACCATAATTACCACATAATTACATGATAATAATGTATTAATTACATTTAATTACCATTTTTTATTACCTTGTAATTACATAATAATGGTACCGTAAAAGAAAGCGTTACCGGTAGTAGTATGTCTTTAACAGGGCACCAAAAAAATGACATGCACCATTACATGTATCAGCAATAATTTAAAAAGTAATTTGAAARCATTCCTGAAATACCTTCACACACAACAACAAGTAAAGGCAATGCAGTGTATTTTGTGTTATTTATTGTGTAAYGCCACACAGCAGAAACTTAAAACTCTGGAGAACTGAGAAGTTGTTCACTCCTGGTCCCCTCTCTTTCAGGTTCCCAGCTGTGAGGAAGAAGTTCATCTCCGAGCTCAAGGAGCTGAAACAGAAGGAGCAGAGCCCGTACGTCATCCAGTCCACCATCAGCCTCATTATGGGACTCAAGTTTTTCCGCATCAAAATGTACCCGGTGGAAGATTTCGAGGCGTCCTTYCAGTTCATGCAGGTAGGGTCGTTACTGGCTGCTTAGATGACACAAATCCTAAAAGAAAGTATCATTTTATTATTAACCTCACAGCAGAGTACAGAGGCTCTCTTAGGCTTCCACTGACATCTGGAAGCTGTTTAGTTARATTCCATTGGAGTAATGTTGGGTCAAGTGCATTTCTTGTTTTCTCTTTGATAATAATTGGGCAGGATGTTTCTAATTTCCYTTCATCGGGATGAAACCAGGACTTGAACCGATGACCTTAGGTGCACACGGTTATTATTATGTCTCGTTTGTRTCACTGCTCCTGATTCGTCACCTGTTTCTGCCTGCAGGAGTGTGCGCAGTATTTTTTGGAGGTGAAGGATAAAGACATTAAGCACTCATTAGCTGGACTCTTTGTGGAAATCCTCGTACCAGTGGCTGCTGTAAGTCTGTTATTTTTGCTGGTCTCAGAGCAATACAGCTACGCTCAACTAGGTTCAGATTAAAACTGTCTTAACTCCAAGACAAATATCAGTTTTTAAACTTTTAAGYTGTAGTTTTTGCATTTAGCTAAAATTGTTATTTTTCTCTTCCAGACTGTGAAGAATGAGGTGAACGTTCCATGTCTGAGAAATTTTGTCGAGAGTTTGTACGACACGACCCTGGACCTGTCCTCCAGGAAGAAACACTCTCTGGTAGGTTTCTCATCAGATTCTGTTTCACCCCGCGTCATCTCTTCTCTCCATTATCAACAACTGGTAAAAGCGCTTCCTGTAACACTGCAACACACGGGGTTTTTATCTCTCAGTGCGAAGGATTAAAGAAGTGCAGCGTGGTGCAGACAAGCGATTTTTGAAGCGTTGCCAGATGGGCATTATTTGCCTATAGCCCTGAAGCAGGTGGAGGAATCAGTGTATTAAATGTTGCACAGCTCTGTTTTTAAAGTCCAGTTATGGTCTCAAAAGAAGCCTACAGTAAAACTAAGCTGTTTAATTACAAGAATGGATAAAGCTGAAAGTTTTGATGGAAATATGCCTGTTGATCAAAATATTTTTGACACATTTTTTTAATGCTTTAACCTTTACTCTGGCATTCCTAAATGACACACTTGTCTAGATGTTTAAAGGAGACGTCTCATGCTTTTAAGTCCTTCTTTTTCACATTTAAATCCTTCAGTTGGGGTCGATATAAAGTGGAACTGCAATACTTTGGTCTGAATTCCTCCTTATTGTAACTCCACAAGCCCCTMTTTTCTGAGGTGTGTCTCAGATCAGCTCATTTTGAGGCTGTCTCTTTAAATCTAAATGAGGAGCTTTACACCCCACCCCCYTCCAGCTTCCAGACCGGTTCGTTCTAGTTTAATAGAGGAGTCTACGACTATATAGCCGCACAGATTATTATTTTTTTACTTATTAATTAAAAGACATGTTGGAGCCAGAGTCTGACATAGAGCAAGAAACAATKCATTTAATGGCCAAAAAAAGAGATTTTGCACAATAAAAACAAGTTTAAACAAGTTCTTAAAACAGATTTGWGGTAAACAAAATATTACAGAAATAAATGATAAATCAGGAATTGTTTATTGTCATTCAAACACAACATCAAGATGTAATGCAGGACGAAATTTGCAGTTTTGAACATCCGTCCGGAGAAACACATACCCATGACAGACATGGGGGAACGAAAGTCCAGGGCCCTGCGTAAYGACGTGGGCTGCAATGAAATGAAATAAATGATACTGATAAGAGTATTTATGAAAGGAAAGGACCAGGAAGTTAATGAAAAAAGCATTCATTGAAGACATTCAGATCACCTGCAGCTAGGGCTGCCATGATCAGTCGACGACTAATCGACTATTAATATAGTCAACAACTAGTTTAATAATTGATTAGTTGTTGTTTTTTTGTTTGTTTGTTTTGTTTTTTACTTTGTTTTTCTCTCCAAACTGCTTTGACACYTTCCACTGCCACATCTGCCTTTCTGTCCTTGACACACATGCACAGTAGTGGTAACTGGGGTAGGCCGTGGACGTCACAAGACATTATACAGACAGGCTCTGGTATCATGGCTACCTGACAACAGAGCTCAAAATGTGGGATCAGTTTAAGAAAATGAAAGAGAAACCTGTGTAATATCTGCAGAGCAGAACTTGCCTTCCACAGCAATTATTTTTAGTTAGCATATAGCTAAAATCTAACAATGGTTATATAATAGCAGCTGCATGTTTTATATTCAATTAACGTATGATCCGATTAGTCGACTAATCGAAAAAAATAATCGGTGATTAATCGACTATAAAAATAATCGTTTGTGGCAGCTCTACCTGCAGCCTTGCCAAATTTTTAAAAACGACTTGTTAGCATTTAGAGTATCTGTTAGGGATGACTCTCAGCTACTACCTCATCAAACTTTAAAATTTGTGAAAATTATAGTTATAGACATTTTTGAGTTTGCATTTTGCAGGTTTGGCGGCTATCTTGATTCAGGTTGACTCTGGAAGCTAATAATTTGTAGATGTGCATCTAACGTTTACTTTCTAAGCATTTTTTGACACCTTACAGCTACTTTTAACTTTTAACAACAAGTGGTTCGTGAGGTATTTTGCAAACAGACARAAAAARGAACACACACAGAAACAACTGCCCATCGTACCGGCTGTGACACCCTCCACCCCGTTGGTTAAGCAACAATGTGCTAAGTGCTAACTGTTGTTAAGTCGTGCACATCAACCTGGATTTCAGTCAGAAATTTCCATGGCTTTCACTTGCTTCACATCCTCCCACAACATTCCACAACATAGTTTTTTTCCAGACAGAGGAGGTTGAGAAATAAACGCCCTCATGCTGCGTGTCAAATCAGGTCATTAAAGAGGAAAAAGGTTTGCCGCTTTAATCTTGGCAGATGGCACATCAATTGAAAATCCCTGACTCTCATTTTCAAATCACATTAGCAGATAACACCAGAGAATCACAAACTTTTGCCTATTACCGCTATATTTGGGATCATTCTTTCCCAAATTAAAGTAACCAAGTCAAATATTTGTTATATGTATTATATGTTTAGTTGAGTTCTCTTTTTAGGCTGTTTTGTTTAAATCAGTAGTTTTTAGAGGTAAATTAAAGGTGAGAGACTTTGTGAGACARACTGATAAATCAGCAGAGTTAACTGTCAGCAGACGTCTGCTGTTCAGACATTTGACAGGCGTGTTTGCTAACAAGCAGCGTCACAGAGCTGCTGTGCTGCGTTGCAGCTGATGTGTTGTTTTGTGCAGGAGTTCCTCGTTCGGCTCCTCATTGCTGGCTGATATGCTGCTCTGCAGGCTCAGTGTGAACGCTTCTTTTAGCAGAGTCTCCAAATACGCCAAGCCTTGCAGCCAACCCTCTACACACACTATCTACACACTTTTTTTTTTTCTTTTCCCAAATAATCAAGGTTACAACAACTTGCTGTACCAGCTAGAGCTGATCGGACAGACACGAGAGAAACGACAGCGGTGCGATGCAGTTTCATAATCGTTTTGCTTTTACATTCCTAAGTGAGGGGAGGTTCAGTGATGAGAGAGAGACAAACAACAAATACCCACAGAGATAAGGAGTACTTGGTATTCGGTGTGCTTTTCAAAACTAACATTTGAAAAAACACTCGTGACATGAATTAATCCTGGACTAACATGGATCATTAGTAAAACATTCCAGCTAAAGAGCGATGAGGAAACAGGCTTTTGTGTTCCAAAATGACAGAAATAACTTCAGAAATGACATTTTCTTGCGAAAGAAGCAGTGAACGCCCAGAGCAGAATCACTGGGCTGAAATTTGCTGAAAAAATATAAACTGAAAAACATTAGTTAAAACCTAAAAGAAGCTAAATGGTAGTTTCAGGCCGTAAGTAGCAATATRCTGGCTAGAAGTAGCAAGATGCTAGCTAAAAGCAGCAAATGGCCCGCTGAAGCTAAATGTAGTACTGGCTAAAAGCATCAAAAGATAGTTAAAACTAAAAGGAAATTAAGGCTTGCTATAGCTAAATATAGCAAAAGGCAAGGTCAAAGCTAAAATAGCAAATTGTAGCTAGATGCTAAAATGAAAAAAAGGCTAAAATGGTAAAAACTAACGTAGCAAAAGGCCGGCTACAACATAGAAGGAGCAAAAGGATGGCTAAAGCTAAATGTGGCTAAAGATTATCTAAAACCTAAACGTTGCATAAGAAGACAAAGATAGAGCTAACATACGAAAGCAGATTCAAATAGAGCAAAAGTACCTGAAGAAATATCTGCCGTAAGTATTTCTATTGGAAGGAAAAGTATAAATAGCATTACATGTTTTGAAAACAATTAAAGGTACAAAAATCTCAATTTACATCACCTATGTCCTGACTGAGCTGAATGTTATATGAATGGCTAAAATAGCACTTAATACTAAAACTGCAAAAAATCTGGACAAATAATAAACAGGAAAWTTTCAGTTAATGTTAATAACAGCAATAGCATTGAAACTATCATAAATATTTTAATTGAGCTCAGAAACATATTTAACCCCGGTAATAGCTTATTAAGTGTTAGTATTTTTACACAAGAATCATGTCTGATGGAGCAAAGTGTAGATGAAAAGTACCTCTTTATACTGAAAGACTCTGATGAGCTTTAAGGTTCTGTTCTCCTCTCCCATGTCCCTCTTCTAACCAGGCCCTGTACCCTCTGGTGACRTGCCTGCTGTGCGTCAGTCAGAAGCAGTTCTTCCTCAGCCGATGGCACATTTTYCTAAACAACTGCCTCTCCAACCTCAAGGTCAGTATTTCTGTTTGTGTAAGAACGAATGTGTTTGTTTTTTCCTTGTGATCACTTTTACACTAGCACAATGAAATATGTTCACTGTAAATTTATTCAAATGAGCAATCAGTTTGATAAAGTGACAAATTAATTCCAGAGTTGCACCAATCGTAGCTTTTCATCTTCTAAATCCTTCCAGGGTTTAAAATCAAAAAGAACTGTGGAGGCTAGAGAAATCAAATTAGCCTCACATGATGATGTTTGAATTGCAGAACAGAGATCCAAAGATGGCACGTGTGGCACTGGAATCGCTCTACCGCCTGCTGTGGGTCTACATGATCCGAATCAAGTGTGAGAGCAACACAGCAACACAGAGGTCAGAGCCGCCCCATCCGCCAAACCCATTTGTGGTTATTCCTTTAAAGTGCCTTGGAGAAGGCAATCACAAAAGAAAAAATGTAAACGATTCAGAGGAACATAAGGTTTTTCTCTTCCTCTTTTAGCCGTCTGACTTCCATCACCTCCACGTTGTTTCCCAAAGGAAGTCGCAGTGTCGTTCCCAGAGACATGCCCCTCAATATTTTTGTCAAGATCATCCAGTTTATCGCTCAGGTGTGTATAAAAAACATGTGCATTAATTGTATATTTGCTTTTTTAATTCAAAAAGTGTACCATCGGGAACAGGAAGCGCTCCTGTTGCCTGATGCTGTTTTRCATCTGGAATCCTGGACCACCAGTATGTTTGTCCTGTTTTCAGGAGAGACTGGATTTTGCCATGAAGGAGATCATATTTGACCTGTTGAGTGTGGGGAAGCCCGCCAAGGCTTTCAGTCTCAACCCTGAGGTAAAGAGAGCAGCCATGAATGTTAAATAAAATAATATTTTTTTAATAATAAAAAATCTGTGAAGTTGAGGGGTCGTATTAATTACAGAAATTTATTATTTTCCTAATGTAAATTTTCTCATATATGAAATTTTTGTCGCGGGAATTTCTCCCTCCCTTCTGCCGTGCGTCGCACACAACGTAGAGTTACGTCAGAGGAGGAAAAACTTGTTTTTTGTTTGTTTTGTTTCTTGTTAGCAGCAGAGATTAAAAGAAGGTGTGGACATTCACTCGCTTCTAAGTCCAYCTTGCTAATTTAATAATCAGCTTCTGCTCTGGGAGCGCAGCAGCCTTTTTTTTTTAGCAAAATGTGGAAGCTCACATGTATGGCAGGATGGTTTTACATTTAATCATCTTCACCACACTTACATTCCAGATGTCTGAAATTGGTTTTTTGACCAGAAATCTTAGTTATTTAAGGGAGAGAACTAATGCAAATTAAACAGGAGAGTTTTATTTTAAAAGTTGCAGTCTCTTTTAATAAATACTAGAAATGTTTCTGCTGTCGATCATTCTGTGTTCAAAACACTGCCAGAGTTGGGTAAAGAACAGTGCGTTCTCTGTTCGAAACTTGAGCCTAATAATGACTCTTAACTTTTGAACTTCTGTAAAGTGATGCTGCTGGTTTTATCTGACGTTAATCTAATACCTTTGTTTGCAGACAATAGATTACGTTCCAAGTGAGCAACACTGTTTTGTAATAAAATAATCACTTCTTTTGCTTTACTTCGTAACAAMTGCATTGCTCTTGTTGAACAAAAACTCTGCTCGCTCTTTTTTTCCAGCGTATGAACATTGGTCTGCGTGCGTTCCTGGTGATAGCTGACGCYCTACAGCAGAAGGATGGAGAGCCCCCCATGCCCAACACAGGAGCAACTCTGCCCTCCGGAAACTCGCTGAAGAAGAAGAAAACGTACCTCAGCAAGACTCTTACTGAGGAAGAAGCCAAACTAATAGGTCTGATTCTGTCTGGACTCAGTCGCTCTGCGGGAATTCAAATGTTGTCTGTAACTCTGCGTTGTTTATCTGCTCTCTGCAGGCATGTCTCTGTACTACTCCCAGGTACGCAAGTCTCTGGATAACATCCTCAGACATTTGGACAAGGAGGTGGGCCGTTGCATGATGCTCACCAGCGCCCAGATGCTCAACAAAGAGCCAGAAGACATGATCACGTATGTCAAAAAATATACATTTTTTTTATTCTTTGAGACTTCCTGTCTCCTATAAGCAAGCCTAATGTGACCTTCTGTCTTTGTTAGTGGAGAAAGGAAGCCTAAAATCGATCTGTTCAGGACATGCGTGGCCGCCATTCCTCGTATTCTTCCCGACAGCATGTCCAAACCCGAGCTCATCGACCTGCTTTCACGGTGAGTTTCAGCAGGTTTTAAAATGACTCCACACGAGTCAGAAACTTTATAAAGGCTGACTTCTGTTTTGTGTCTCTCAGACTTACGGTGCACATGGACGACGAGCTGCGTCTCATTTCCCAGAACTCCCTGCAGAGCCTGTTACTTGACTTCTCAGACTGGAGGGAAGACGTCTTGTTTGGTTACACACATTTCCTTTTGCGTGAGGTACAGCCAAAGTGTTTTGCGCAAAGAATATAAATAATTAAAGAAAATAGAGAATTTTAATCCCACATCTTCCTACTATTCAAATGTTAAACCAACAACAAACATCAGAATACATAAAACACTGCACAGATTTGTCTGACTTCCAAAGTTTCTCAACTAAAAACATCAATATCAGTAGTATAATCTGCTTTTACTAATCTGTGCAAAATATAAAGTAATTGTTATAAATAATTTCCTAAAACAAAGAGTAAATGTTAAGGTGTTTCTAAGTGTCTTTTATCAACTCTAAGGTTCAAGACACTCATCAGGGTCTGCAGGATGCCTCTGTGAAGCTCCTCCTCCAGCTGCTCGGACAGTGGAGGATAGCTCTGCAACTGCAGGGGAAGATGAGGGGCGGAGCTGAGGTTAGTAGAACCATCAGAGAGCTGCTTTCTCCTCTTACACCTGTTGGTATTCATAATTTCATTATATTTTTATACTGTTTTTTAAATTTATTCTTGCTTTTTCTAGTCTTTTGCTACACTTAGCTGTGGTGAAGTTCTGCTACTTTCAGTTTCACCTAGCTGTTTGCTACGTTTAGTTTTTAGTGAGCCTTTTAGTGCTTGTAGCTAGCGTTTAGCTAACACTCAGCCTTATTTTTGCTTTTAGCTGGTGTTTTTTTAGCTCTAATCCTTTTCATCAAATTTAATTAAGTCATTCAGCACTTGGAATGATTAAATGTAGTTTCTCTTATCATGTTTAAATCTTCACTAACACATTTCAGACACAACAGTTTTTGCACGTTAGATGCTTCTTTACCAGTTGCTGTGTTCAGAACTAGTGAATCTTTGCGTTCTTTGTCCGCTCCGTCCAACAGACCAGCCCCCGGATGCCGGAGCGAAGCCCTCATTGCTCCGTGCTCCATGCCGTCGAAGGCCTGGCCCTGCTGCTCCTCTGCTCGTGCCAGGTCAGCACCAGGAAGCTGGCGGTCGGTGTGCTCCGAGAAATACGCTGCCTCTTTACAGCTCTGGGACACGCTGAGGTACAGGAAACTCCCGTCAACACCCACTGAACTCAGGATGCGTTATCATCTGTCTGATATTAATTTTCAAAGCAGATAAATAGAAGTACAGTATATCAGGTGGAGAGGAAAGACCGAGAAGGCACATGGAAAACAGAACATGGCTGTAGAGGAGTTTAGAGATGCAGCCTGTGAGTTTGTTCATGTTGTGTCATGCTGTTATAAAAATAACTGATTATATAAACGTCACACCCTGCAGGACGATGACAAGCCCATGATAGAGGTCATGGACCAGCTGAGCCCCGCTGTAATGGACAGCTTTGTTCACGTAGCCGTTTCTGACTCAGTGAGTACGATTAGTAAACCAGATTCGGTGCGACGCAGTGACAGATTTGACGTCTTTCCCCTAAACTGGCCCCCTCCTCCGCTGCAGTCCACGCTGCCCCTCAGCCACCACGTYGACCTCCAGTGGCTGGTGGAGTGGACCGCTCGCCTGGTGAGCAGCTCGTATGACGTGAAGAGCCCGAGCCACGTCTGGATCTTCGCGCAGTGCGTGAAGGACCCGTGGGTGCTGTGTCTGCACATCTTCCTGCGCCAGGAGCACCTACCCAAACACTGCTCCACCGCTCTGGGCTACGCCTGGCCCTACGTCTTCACACGGCTACAGCTGCTGCTGCCCCTGGTGGACCCCAAGTACAGAAAAACAAAACACTTAAATTTTGAAGAGCAGGGCTGGATGAATGACAAATATTTATCTGAGGTCTGTGTTTTCCTCTTTTCTGCAGCAGTCCGGTGAACGCAAAGAAGACCAGTACGGCAGGCTCCAGCGACAACTACGTGTCACTGTGGCGTAACTATCTGATCCTGTGCATGGGTGTGGCCAAGCCCAGCATCATGTCGCCCGGCCACCTCAGGGCCTCCACGCCTGAAATCACCGCAACCACGCCCGACGGCAGCGTCACTTACGACAACAAGGTCAGGGTTCAAAATAATAACCTGAAAGCTTTTTTAAATAGAATTACGTTTTATTAAAATAATGAAAATGCAGTAGCTGGTGGACTTATTTTCAATTTTATTTTTTTTAAGAAAATATTGGGTCAAAGGGGATTATTCTGATTGTCAGATTATTTTTTTGTCCACTAAGCTCTCTAAAATCCAATATAGTTTTTTTTTTTTTTTCACATAAACCATCTAAATACAACCAGCCTTTTAAACTGCAGCCTGATAGGAAATTAAAAGATTAAATGATTTTTCAAACATTTTATTAGACTCACCCTAAAATACTTGACTAATAGTCTCTTTAATTAAGATTGTGGAATTGTTGCATAGATATATAGTCGTTGTTTTGAACAAATAAAAAAAACAAGAATACCTGTAAATACATACATATAAGCACATAAACAGGAATACAACAAAAGGTCATTTTAGCTACTTGTTCAAACAGGTGTGAGAGAAGTTTACACTTTTTCATATTCCCACACATTTTATACTATTTATCATTCTTTAATATTCTTTTAGATCAAAATACATGCTACAGTTTGTACTATATAATTTAAACAATACCTATATAGTCTTGTCAATAAGCAAATACTGCCTCTGATCTTACATAGTAAACATGATTTTATACTATATTTCTCTAAATCATTAATGAGGAAACTGTTGGCCTAATTAATAATAATCGTATTATGAAAAAGCTCGTTATTGTTTGATCAGTTTCTGACGTTATCTGATCCGTGTGTTCTTGTTAAAGGTAATCGGCACTCCGTCTGTAGCCTGGCTTTTAAAGCAGCTGGTCCCGCTGATGAGAGCTGAGAGTCTGGAGATCACAGAGTCTCTTTTGTTGGGCTTTGGATGCACAAACGCACTGGTCTTCAGGTATTCGAACACAAACCTGCACAGAGACACACCTACAGGGACTTGCACAGCTTGCATCTTATGCAACGCCTCACAGTCGGACCTAAATGTTTTAGACAGATGAAGTAATTTGCTGTCACCGTGTGTCTCATGTGGCTGTCAGGTGTGAGTTTCAGCAGAGAATAGATTTATTATTATGTTGAACAATGAATGATGTTGTGGTTGGGACATAAGTCAGGCTCGGTTAGTGTTTTTACTCTCCTTACATCTTCTACTTACTCCACATTGTTGTCATAGCTTGAATAGATCAAATACCTCTGGCGTTCAGGCAGGAGGAAAACTACCGGTACACGTGTCGCTGGTGTTTAAAGGAATTCTTACAAGGAAAGAGGTGCTGCACATTTTTTAAAACAACACATGTTCCATTATGTTAGGGAGGTATTTCATTTTAAAAAGATTATCTATTTTTACCTTAGAATGTTTTCTGAAAAAACAAGTCCTTTGTTTTTAAGTTCTGCCTCAGACATTTGAGTTGCACTAAGTGGTTGTTTATTAAAAACATTCTGTTTCTTTTTTTGGTTTATTATTTACAAGAAGCAAAGATTTGATTGCTTGTTTTGCAGCCTAACTTCCCTCCAGGCCCTTATAGCTGCTTGCTGCTCTGCTTGGTTGTATCTTATGTGTGATGGGTTAAATCAGAGCACAGATTTCTTCATTGTATGGGAATAAATGGCACCTATACTTACTGATGTGTCTGATATACAGGGAGTTGGTTGAAGAACTCCATCCGCTGATGAAGGAAGCACTGGAACGACGGCCTGAGGTAACAAATACACAGAAACGCATTTAGACTACATCACAGACGAAGAATAAGATGCTTGATTTATTATCCTCGTTATAAAATGTGTTTTAAAAAAAAACTACCCCAGAATAAAGAAGCAATAAATTCTGATCAGCCATAATATTGTAAAGAAACATGCAAAGAGAACCCAAATCAGGTGCAGGAAACTGGTCCAATCACTCTTGAATATTTATTTACACTCATATAGAGTGAAAATAAATAGACATGTTCATTCTCTTGCTGTTTAAAAGGGACCTATTATGCAAAATTCACTTTTTAAAGGTTTTTTTACTCAACTTTGGGTATGTACTTCTTAAAAAAACAGTCCTAGGACCAAAAAAAAGACACCCAGGGGCATATTTACTGTAAGTAAATGTATTTTTAATGTATATTAAYGACAAGTTTTATACTTCCGTCATTTTGTGATGTCACAAGCYGTACGACAACCCACTGGAACCTGCGTTCAGCCCCTTACCTAGCAACCCTAGACTCCTCCTCCTCAGTATAAAGAGCCGTCACCGTGTTGTTGTGTAATGTGCAGCTCATTTCACAACAAGCCTCCAATAGTGCAATGGGTAGCATGTTGGACCAGAGAGTGGGAGACCAGGGTTTGAGACCGGCACGGACAATATTTAATTATTTATTTATTTTCATTCGTCATGAACATGTTTTCTCATGTAGCTCTATTGTTTAGCTTATGAAAGCCAGGTTAAAGCCTATCTGTTTGAGTTTCTGAGGTCTTTTGACCGCTGCTGCTCCCTGCTCTGGTAACAGCATGCAGAGTGAGCACAGAGCAGAGGAGGGGGTGGGGGGAGCTGCGACCACGACTCTGCCTCTGGGTCTCATATGGTTGTACAACGGAGCTTCTGCTATTATTAGCCATGCTAACGTAAACGCTGGCTTTGGAGGGCGGAGTTAATGTCAACAGATTTTTGGAGGGCGTTACCAACAGAGCTCATTAACATAAACAGCTCTTCTGAACAGAAGTCAGAGCAGGCAGAACTAGAAAATGGGAAATTTTATTATCTGAGAATTATTTTGTGCATTAAATTGAATGAACATGGTCTGGATAGCCCACAGACATACCATAAACAGACATACCATAAAAATTTCTAGGACCCATAATTTGGTCTCCTTTAATAAACGATTAATTGATCACAAAGTACAAAATAAGTGTGCATCTGAAATTCAGTTAATCAGTCAGAAAATMTCTTACTAAATTATGACCACATGTGTAACGAGTAGCACTGCTCATTTTGTCATCACGTAATGTTGTGATGGAAAACTCCTTCTTGTTCACATTAATACTGCTTTGACGTATTTTGTCCACCACTCAAACACGTTGCACGGCAGCAGAAATATCAGCTCATATAAATGTGTCGCAGCAGTAAACAGACGTCTTGTCTCTGCTGTCTTTGTTTTCAGAACAAGAGGCGCAGAGAGAGGAGGGATCTTCTCCGGCTGCATCTCCTGAGGATCTTTGAATTGTTGGCTAACGCAGGAGTTATCAGTGACAGGTAGTAAACACATGACAGCTGTGTGCGTTTATCTGTTTGGATGCATGCACACGTATTCCTTATTTGCCGCCATTTTTTGTTTTATTTTATTTTTCCTGAAGCACTAATGGAGCTCTGGAGCGTGACTCCTTGGCGCTGGGTGCTTTGTTTCTTGAATACGTGGATCTGACCCGGATGCTTCTGGAGGCTGAGAACGAGAAGGAGCTGGATGTGCTGAAAGACATCAGAGCTCATTTCAGTGGGATGGTGGCAAATCTCATCCAGTGTATTCCCGGTAATTAATTGTATTGCCTTTAAACGATGCTATRTCTTTATGACATCCATTGTTTTGTTTGTTTTTTCACTTTAACCCTTTGAGTCTCTGTCGCCCACTTCTTCACAGTTCAGAACCGGCGCTTCCTCTTCCCTCAGCAGTCTCTGAGACATCATCTCTTCATCCTCTTCAGCCAGTGGGCCGGACCCTTCAGCGTTATGTTCACTCCTCTGGATCGTTACAGCGATCGCAACCATCAGATCACTCGCTATCAGTACTGTGCTCTCAAAGTAAGCACACGTATCCCCACACTTTGTTTTCCTATTTTTTGTTCACAGGATTTTTAGCATTAATGCAGATTTTGTTTCCAGGCCATGTCGGCTGTTTTGTGTTGCGGTCCAGTTTTTGACAATGTGGGCCTCTCCACTGACGGTTATCTCTACAAATGGCTCGACAACATTCTGGCCTGTCATGACCTGCGGGTACTACTGTCGCCTTTGTTTTGTTTTTGTTGTTTTTTTTCCTGAAATACCAGTCCGATTGTTGTTTCCTTTGATGTATTATTGCCTCTAAACGAAAACATGTCTGGCATTAGGTGCACCGTCTGGGGTGTGAGGTGATCATCCTGCTTTTAGAACTGAATCCAGACCAGATTAATCTGTTCAACTGGGCTGTGGATCGCTGCTTCACTGGTTCTCACCAACTAGCCTCTGGCTGCTTCAAGGCCATCGCTACAGTCTGCGGCAACAGGTCAGTGCATCACTTCAATGCTTCTGACTGGTTTAGATTACTCGCAGTTATTAACTTTCTTTGCTTATTTCGCCAGAAATTACCCGTTCGACCTGGTGACTTTGCTGAATCTTGTGTTGTTCAAGGCTTCAGACAGCAACAGGGAAATCTATGAAATCTCTATGCAGCTCATGCAGGTGGGACGAGGTTTTGAACTTTTTGAGGAGCGGTATCAAAGGAGGTGGTAAAGAGACAGTCGGTAAGGATAAATGTGTACGTGCAGGTGCTGGAGACCAGACTGTGTGCGTACTCGAAGCGGATGGTGGAGCAGAAGCCAGGGAATATTTTGTATGGAACACACGGCCCCCTGCCTCCACTCTACAGCGTCAACTTATCTCAGCTCTCCATCCAGCTCGCCAGCATGTACCCAGAGCTGACACTGCCTCTATTCTCAGGTATATCCTTCATTTTAAACATATACAGATTTATATAAACTTATAAATATACATATCAAATCTATATAAATGTTTAAAAAGGAGCTTACTGGGAAATATGTTATGTAGGATGGGTGTCTCAATCGTATTTATATTAAAAATGTATAAATATTTGTACATGTAAGGATGAGAATGTAAGATTTAATGCTCATTCAATGTGGGAATAATTTGTTTATYTGTTGTGAGAACATTTAAATGTTATGAGTATGAGAAAGGGCAGGAAATCAAAAGATCTCGTATCTTTTACCTGCTCCTCTTCGAACAAATAATGTAAAAAGGACCTGCCTAGAGTGGATTATTAGTTCAAGGAAGATTGGATGGTTTCTTTTAATCTTACTTTTTTTTTATTTTTGTTTTGTTGCGTAAAGATTATTATTGATAAATTTATTTGAGGGAGGAAAGGCACAGATGTTATAAGATTTTTCTTCTTTCTGCTGCCTTTTATTTCATTTTATTCGTTTTTTCTGTATTTTACTTTTGAAATTTTATTTGATGGAGGAAAGGCACAGATGTTATAATTTTTTTCTTCTTTCTGCTGCCTTTTATTTCATTTTATTCGTTTTTTCTGTATTTTA